CTCAAACCTATATATATATATATATATATTATTGTGGCAGTTCAAAACCTCAAAACACTTTCTTCACTTATTTTAAAACGGACTACCACGGAGAACTGGGGTGTGCATCGTTAAGCAATATTTCTCCCGTCTGGAACAGGTGTCAATGTCGCCATGGGTAAGACAGCGTACCAAAGCAGCACCGGAACTGGACCTGCTAGCCGGGCCGTAGACGGGATCACCGACGGCGACTTTGAGTCTAGCTCCTGCTCTCACACCAAGTTAGACACCGGAGAGCCTTACCCGAGTTGGTGGGTGGATCTGGGACAACCGATGCAGATTGGCAGGTGGGTGCCTATCTTAAAAATGTACCATGGAAGTTCATCTGTGTTGGTAGTAATCATAGTAAAACGTTGAACTTTAATCCAACACACACATTATACAGAAATCAAATTTTCATCGACCACTGTCGTCTTCATTAGCAGTACGCAGTGGTCTCAGTGTATATATCAGAGCACTTTAGCCTTCACTTAATACAGATGGTGGACGATATAAACGCCCTGGTACGTTTCATTTGCTTACGTCACGTATCAGCAGTCTCGTGTCAATAAGGTCACGTGTTTCTCGCGAGATCACGTTGTAAAGTGATTGGTCATTAATTGCCCTGATTAAGGCGACATTGGTCGCTCCAAACTTGATCTCTGTGTAATTTTTGTGTTGGAATAAAGTTCAAAGTTTTACCATCTTGGAAAGTGATGCGTGCCTAATCTCCAAGTAGATCCTAGATCCTTTGGGTGACGTTTTTTCCCTCTCTGGCCAATGGATATCGCCTAGCGAATTTGATACTGTCTTTTGCCACCCTAGGATCTGCTTGGAGATTAATGCGTACCCGTCTTGAATAGTGATGCGTGGCTGGCGCTGAAACACTGTGATTTAGGCCGCCAGATGATTGCAATCTCTACCAGAAAAGACTCTGATTACGATCTTTTCTTGTAGAAGCCACATTTTACCAGATCTCTAATTCCATCGAGACTTGTATTTTATCACTTACTTACTTACTTACTGCTCTAAATGCCAGTCCCGGCATGTAGGGCAGCAACAAAGGTTCTCCAGTTCCCTCTGTCCTGGGCTGCTCTCTGGATGGTATCCCAGGTGTGGCCAAAGTTCTTCAGTACTTTCGCAACTGTTCTGCGCCAGGTGATCTTAGTTCGTCCTTGCTTTCTTTTTCCTTCAGATGTCCAGTGTAGTGCTTTTCTTGTTAAGTGATTCGGATCTTTTCTCAGTACATGTCCTATCCATTTCCATCTCTTTCTCAGGATAATGGTTTCCAAGTATTCTATAACACCAGTGGAAAAAAACACTACCACCCGGTTCTAGTATATTCAAAGATCGTGGATTGTTGAATCCCACGGTTTTGGAATTGACCACTCTTATAGTCATCAGTATGTGATGTACCGTGAATGTAATCTAAATCGCAACACGGGGCAACTTAAAAGTCACACTGGCTCTTTAAAAAAGCTAACATTTTGATGTCTTCATGCACATGTGCCCTACTTGTTCACTGTCCTTTTAACTGTGCTAATATGACTAAATTGCTAAAAACGCCCCAGGGCCGTTTCTGTCATTTAAAAGAATACTACCGTACTAAGGAAACTTACAATACAACTTACAAAACAATACTACCATACTAAGCCAATTTAGTCATCACGATGCCAATGACACAACAGTTTAATCTCCAATCAGATCATACGGTGGCAAGGCAGTATCCATTGGCCAGATACGTGTCCATTAGCCACCGTGGCCAATGAATAATGTCTAAGGTAATAGATACTACCTGGTCAATTTGATACAGTCTTTTGCGGCCTTCCAAACGCAAACGTTTTTTTTAAATATTCCAACTTGTAATCACAGGACGTGGTGACGACACACTCTAGTTTTTTCTACTTAGGCAACAGCTGGTAAACTTTATGGATGGCATCCCTCACAGACTCCAAATCTAATGCGATAAGGCGAAAAATACAAAGGCGGGCCAAAAAGAGGAGATTCCTACATTTTCAAATTTTGACATAAACTTTTTGAAACAAGAGATGGTACCTATATTGTGCTATGTTTACTGGCAAATTAGCCAAGGCGCACTTCGCCAAGGTGCCAAGAAACTGGAAAATGTCTGTGTTAAATGACCTGGTCCGAAATGAGACCACAAGAAGGCAAAAAAGACACGATCCTTCTTCAACATCCGCTTTCACCTGCACAACCTGCGGGAAACTCTGCTGGAGTAAACCTGGGCTGGCCGCACACGGACGAGCCCATCGACGATGAACAGAACGTCTGCCAACTTGAAGATAAAAAGAAGAAGAAGACTGGCAAATATTACAAAATTCATTGTCACTGAAAAATAAAAGGTTTCAATCGTTGTACAAATGGTTTTGATTCAGTGGGAACATCGATATCGCATATAAAATACATTACTGAATCAAAGTAAACAATAAATCAGAGTCTTGTTTTGTCTCCTCTATTTTTATTTGCCATCCACATGTCGGCATGGAAGAGACATCTTTGCCCATTTTCGGCATGTTGACTAATGTCAGATAGAGGGCAACAAAATTTCTTGTTTGTTTTTTCAGGCAAATATCAATGCGCGCGCTGATGTCATCCAGAAAAATTACTTGCTGTGGCCTTATATCAATGCCACCACCAACACAGATGACAATACAATATTCATTTGTACCTGAGTGAAGTAAAGTCGTGTGAAGTGCCTTCCCCAAGGGCACAAGATCGGTGGCATGTCGGGACTCGAACCCGGGGCCGCTAGGTTCCAAGTCGAGTCACACGATCCCAGATTAACAACGGTTGTTCCACTAGCATTGCTTCGTCTTTCATTTTCACAGGGTGGTCATCTGGAACCGCATGGACTGCTGCTCGGATAGAATCAACGACTTCAACATCCACATCGGCAATAACACACAGGTGAGCTAGATGCTAGATGCTACTGGTTCACTATGCACTGAAGCTAGGTGTTACATGCACAGCTATGTGCTACAGGCTGAATATGTACTGAAACCAGGTTTACTAAGTCCTAAAGCCCGGTGTTACTGGTTCACTGCTGTGCACTGAAGCTATAGGTGTTACTGGTTCACTGTGCACTGAAGCTAGGTGTTACTGGTTCACTGTGCACTGAAGCTAGGTGTTACTGGTTCACTGTGTATTTTATGTGTTACTGGTTCACTTTGCACTGAAGCTAGGTGTTACTGGTTCACTGTGCACTGAAGCTAGGCGTTACTGGTTCACTGTGCACTGAAGCTAGGTGTTACTGGTTCACTGTGTATTTTATGTGTTACTGGTTCACTGTGCACTGAAGCTAGGTGTTGCTGGTTCACTGTGTATTTTATGTGTTACTGGTTCACTGTGCACTGAAGCTAGGTGCTGCTGTTTCACTGTGTGCTGAAGCTCAGGCGTTACTAGTTCACTGTGTACTGAAGCTAGACTGGTTCACTGTGCATTGAAGATAGTAACTTGACGCTAAGCGTTACTGATTCACCGTGCACTGAAGCTATAGGATTTACTGACACTTAGTCTGTATTTTTATATTTGTATAATTGTTTTTCTGAATTTAAAAAAAAAAAAAAACATCCAGGTGAGCCTGAACCCCAAGTGCGGTGGCAACCATAGAATCGAGGACCTGGGACAGCAGAAAATCACCATCAATTGCCCGGGGATGTGGGGACGGTACGTGGGCGTGCGTCTCCCCGGGTACAAGCGAATTCTGAGCCTGTGTGAGGTCCAAGCATTTGCCGGTAGGCTTTCACTACGTATACATTTACTTGACATGATTATGACATCATGTATACTTTCAAAGGCATTAACTGGTGTGTGGTCAAATGCATGTAACAGTCGTACGTGCACGTGATTTTACCCCCTTTTAAATTTACCCCCTTCCTTGGCGACATTATCATGTAAACTATAATAGTCATATGTTATACTGTTCTCTATTCATGGTTTTTGTTCTGCACTACGCGCTACTGATTGTACTTAAATTACCTTTAAGAATTTGCAATAAACTTATGGTTTAAAATCATTCTCTTTATTATTAATTGTCGTTATTGAATATTGACATTTAGCTAATGTTGACATATGATTCCTTCTTTTTTATCGATATTGTTTAGGTAAATTCTGATCTAGAGGCTACTGTGGATTGAAGCTCGGCCGGACCTGTTGCTCTAGCGGCTGGTGGTGTGAGGACGCGGCGGCTCACTCCATCTGCTGTGATGATCTTCAAAAAGTCTTCAGATAATTAAAATCCCATCCTCTCATGCTAGACCCCAGCATCTGCATATACCAAGCAACCGTCCTAGTTACTGTGACTTACAACCTGTCCTTCTAAGCCAATCACTTACTAACCAATCCCGTTGCCTCTTACGGTCAAGAAGCTATGTGATTGGCTGGTAACCCCCCCTCCCTAACAACAAGAGAGAGAGAGAGAGAGAGAGAGAGAGAGAGAGAGAGTCTGCTTTGCAGTGAGAAGCCGGTTATATCAAAGCCGGTTATATCAAAGCCGGTTATATCAAAGCCGGTTATATCAAAGCCGGTTATATCAAAGCCGGTTATATCAAAGATGTTGCTTGGTGTATAGAAGCGTTGCGCCTAGCATGAGAGGATGAAAACGCCCTGAATGGCAACGTTTTATTTCTTCACATCTCCTTAAGTTCTATGTTAATGTTGGTGTCTGGTATGCTATTATTCGATGATGACTAATTATGTTAATGGTTAGGTACAAAATGTAGGTTTTTTTTTCTTGACCTCAATTAGGATTTGGTAGGATCGTACTTTTTTGCTCCTGTTATACTTTAGGTACATGCATATATGTGACAGGGATAGAAATTAAAGGTGGCAGCATTATGAATACTTAGATTCGCATCGCATGTGTAGTACTAGTGCAAAAAGTTGCTTTAGCTACGCGACAGGCCTGCTTTACGTAACCTACGTTAACTTTCTCTTCTATATTAATGAATGACGTTGGTGTCTCGTATACTATAATTCATACTCAGTAATGATGATTAGGGATGTGTATGATTGGATATGAATAATAACTTTTTTGTTTACATCTATAGGAAGTTGGTAAACCAAGGTTCGTAATGTTAGAGATTTATTGTTACTTGTGTAAGCTTTTGGTTATTTTACAGAAGTGGGGTTACTATACTGTTTATGGCAGAATGCTAGGGTTACATCTTAAGCTACGGTCACAACCCGCCGTACGTGCTTCTGCGTGCTGTCTACGTGCAAAAACGTGGGCAAATGCAGAGCATCCGTGCGTGGTGAGTACCACCTCTGTACGGACTCCTATGGATTTTGGAGCACGCAGACACGCCGTAGAACTTTAAGTGCGGTCTACGGATTCACCACCCGTGCGTGCGAGTACGGGCGACGCGCGTGCCCCGTACGTACCGTATGAAGGACGCACGTGTGAGTATGGCCTCCTTACGGTAAAGTTGCAATCGCACAGAGATCGTACGTTGTAAGCACGTACAACCCACTGACCACTTGCGCAACGTACGATGCACGCAACCGCTCCCGGCCAGGCGTGGCGTGCAGACCACACTCTTACACCTTGCGCAACCGTGCGAGTGACGTGCGTCGACGCCACTCCTTCCCCACGTTTTCAGAAAAAACGTAGCAGACGTAGCCTCCCAAAAACGTACGGACAAAAAGCACGTACGACGAGTTGTGACCGAGGCTTTAAGCCCAATAGAAATAGGTTTTGTATGAGTCTGCATATGTTTACGTAGATTTGCTTCGTATGCAATAGTAAAAATTAGGTGATAATGTGTGGATTAAAAGGAAGCCTAGGTTTTATTATAGGTTGCTAGATAAATAACAGTAGAATTTTTTTCTTTCTCTTGCATTTGAGGTGCATGAACTGTTAAACGACGGTCACAACCCGCCGGACGTGCTTCTGCGTGCTGTCTACGTGCAAAAACGTGGGCAATTGTAGGGCATCCGTGCGTGGTGAGTACCACCTCCGTACGGAATCCTACGGATTTGGGAGCACGCAGACACGCCGTAGAACTTTAAGTGCATGTAAATTTTTTTTCTGCGTGCGGTCTACGGATTCACCACCCGTGCGTGCGAGTACGGGCGACGCGCGTGCCCCGTACGTACCGTATGAAAGACGCACGTGTGAGTACGGCCTCCTTACGGTAAAGTTGCAATCGCACAGAGATCGTACGTTGTAAGCACGTACAACTCACTTACCACTTGCGCAACGTACGATGCACGCAACCGCTCCCGGCCAGACGTGACGTGCAGACCACACTCTTAAACCTTGCGCAACCGTGCGATTGACGTACGAGTGACGTGCGTCGACGCCACTCCTTCCCTACGTTTTCAGAAAAAACGTAGCAGACGTTGCCTCCCAAAAAACGTACGGACAAAAAGCACGTAGGGCGGGTTGTGACCGTCGCTTTACAGAAGCTATAACACTTAGTGATGGGTGCTTTGCAAAGAAACAATGACCAAATGGCATTTTTCAATGATTGCCCGAAATGATATCTTCACAAATGACATAAGAACATTGCCCGCATGTCGTTGGTTGAAATCAAGCATATACATGTAAGATTGTAACGATTTCAAACTTCCTTGTTGGTTATAACGTAGCAAGATAGACACACTTTCTTACAATCTCGTACACAAGTTGACACGCTATCTTAATTTGAATAAAAATTGTGGTGATTGAACAGAACAGCGTTTGTTGTTGTTTTTTTGTTAGTGCATGCTTACTATGTATACATAGAAACATATACATTCCCAGTATACATAGATTTATTTATTTATACGACAAATGAGAGAAATTAATATTTGTAATAACAGTGGGAGAAATGTTTGTAAGGGGCAAGATGGCCGGCCATGTCTATTAATTTGGATTATATGGATGACATGCGCGCGCGCATGAACTTTCGGCCGTTTAAAAAAAGACCATACTGTAAATGTACGAACAGTTTCAAAATGAGCAAATATGTACCGTACGTTGCAAAAAGATATTGGAAACCAATACCAATGTCTTTGAAGAGTAAAGTATTCGCCATAGCATACTCAACTTTTTTGGGGCCAAACGTTTTTTTTATTCGCACGCTCGCATCAGTTTTGGGGTTCCCAGAGGATTTCATCCATACAATGAAATCAACATGGCCTAACATGGTGGTCGTGTGGCGTAGCGGTAACGTCTTCGGTCTGGAGCCCCAGATTCGAACCACACGTTGTCACCGATCTTGTGCCCTTGGGAAAGACAATTTACACGACTTTCCTCACTTCACTCAGGTGTAAATGAATGAATGAATGAATGAATGAATGAATGAATGAATGAATGAATGAATGAATGAATGAATGAATGAATGAATGAATGAATGAATGAATGAATGAATGAATGAATGAATGAATGAATGAATGAATGAATGAATGAATGAATGAAGACCTTTATTGTACACACATACCCACTGGGTTAAGTACAGGTCACAAAAAAAGGATGGAATATAGATAATGTTACATACATACATCCTCAAGTAGCGCTAGCTACAATCAAGTAAATTCGGTTTCTTCTCGTTTCTTAGTAATGGCAAAAATGTAAGAACAGAGATATGTTTCAATACAGAAGGTTTGTCTAAGCTCATTAGAAATATAAATTTATCTGTACAGCTTAGATGTATAAAGAAGGGGAACATAGATTGTATCAGATTATAAAGATCTACTCTCTCTTTGTGGTATAGTTCACAATCCGTAAAAATGAGTACCTAGCTTAGGCACGTCCCTCGTGAGGTTGTATGCCTGGTACTGGGTCTGCCAAGTCGCACCCACGGTGTAGGACTGACCTTCGAAAGGAAAAAAAAAGCTAATGATATCATGTAAGAGTAAAATAACACTACCTGGAACAAGTAGAGACATTTTCAACATGCTGTTATCATGCCCCGACTCTGTATCTGTTTATTTAGGCCAATATGTACATATAATGCTATACAAAAGAGAAACCATGTCACAACAACGTAAATTGTAACACTCCATTATAACATATATACATGTATTGAAGTTAGATTAGTACACTGGTGGAAATAGTTTATAGCTATTAAGTATTATTTGCCATACATCGTATCAAATGCAATTGTTGCGCAATAAAGTTGACTTGACTTAATGCTCGTTCCCTGAGATGTCCAAGAAAAAGAAAAGAAGCACGTAAAGCATAGAAGTGATTTTGAGCAAGTTCTGGCAGAGTTGTCCGGGATAGGAGCAGAAAAGACGCCTTTCAAGAAAGAAAATAAGGATTACACACCTCCATAAAGTATTTGTGAAACTTTGTAACTACGCAGGTCAACTGGAAGTGCCTTAAAAATGCCACATTGGAAAATGTAGTTTTCTACGGGGCGGATTTCTGAGAAATCTTCTTAAAACAAAAACCAGATGTGCCAGACGCGCTGTCAAACGTAGTGCGATCTGATTGGTCCAGGCGACGTGGGACGCTTGGGCGAGATAGCGTCCCCTCTTACCCTCAGCCCACTTCAGCCGCGAAACCCTCGCCACACGGCTGTTTACAAATTTTACTCTTTTCAAGCGATTTCAACCCACCCACTTCCTCCCTTAATTTAGTACTTCTGTGCTACGACACCGTAGTCACAGTTTACATTATTTTGGCATCGTGTGGGGTAATAAACCCGGATGCACTGTTTATATTATTTTGGCATCGTGTGGGGTAATAAACCCCGATGCACTGTTTATATTATTTTGGCATCGTGTGGGGTAATAAACCCGGATGCACTGTTAATATTATTTTGGCACCGTGTGGGGTAATAAACCCTGATGCACAGTTTATAATATTTTGGCATCGTGTGGGGTAATAAACCCCGATGCACTGTTTATATTCTTTTGGCATCGTGTGGGGTAATAAACCCCGATGCACTGTTTATATTATTTTGGCATCGTGTGGGGTAATAAACCCCGATGCACTGTTAATATTATTTTGGCATCGTGTGGGGTAATAAACCCCGATGCACTGTTAATATTATTTTGGCATCGTGTGGGGTAATAAACCCCGATGCATTGTTTTAAATCATTTGAGCATTTGTGTTAGTGGGTCTGGGATACGGAACACAACTTATTCCAGATATTTGTGTCTTAAGTTACTGATTGCTGTTTTTTCTTGAGCCCTAGTCATGCCGAACACACGGCTCTCTCGTAAGAGGAAACGGCAGAACACGCCCAAGGACCCTGAAGACCCGCCCAGAGACCCCAAGAATCCGTCCAAAGACCCCAAGAAGTCGCGCAAAGATTCCAAGGACCCTACCGACAACACATGAGACATCAAAACTCTGCAGCAGCAGGTGCAGGCGCTGGCTTCTGTAACCGAACAGCTTGCTAAGAGCCTTGCAACGCTTGCCCCGCAACCGCCGGGAAGCTCCTCAACATCTGGACTCCAGAACCCGGCCCTGCCACCTGCCAACCTGGATTCGCAGCAGACACAGCCTACGGACAGCTTAGCTAATGCTATCTTGGGTAGGAATGTTAATGTGATTGATATTGATGCTATTGAGAGCAATGTTGATTAAGGTTAACGGTACTGACAAGGGTAATGTGATTGTTCCTAAGACAACAGAGAAAGATGCACGCTCTGAGATCATCCCCCCAACGCTTGCCCTTCCTAACAGTAACACCCAGTCAGGAATCCATGTCCCTTTGGACAATGGTATCCCTACCCGCATAAAAGACAACATCTGGGGTCACAAATATGTAGAGTTCAGGCAACTGCTGCCAAACTTCCGTTCTGACCCACAGTATACCGTGTCCCTGACAGACAGCCTGACCCCCACCCTGACCATCGCGAACCATCCCTCACGTAAAGCATGGAAGTGATTTTGAGCAAGTTTTAGCAGAGTTGTCCGGGATAGGAGCAGAAAAGACGCCTTTCAAGAAAGAAAATAAGGATTACACACCTCCATAAAGTATTTGTGAAACTTTGTAACTACGCAGGTCAACTAGAAGTGCCTTAAAAATGCCACATTGGAAAATGAAATGGCGACCAAACAAGAACAAACGGTAACTAGAAATATAACATTTGCAAGGCAAATAAATAATGTTTACCTTCCCATATGGTTTGCTTCATACTCAAATACATTAATATATATGGTCAGACAGGAGTCTACATCCCTCCTAAAAAATTGCAACATATGTAACCCAACACCAGTTACCATGGTGACAGACATCAACAAATCAGGCCATTGGCCAGATCAGAGGTTAGTGTTTGGAACAGAAGAGGAAAGGACTGAGTAAAAAGAATATGTTTTCCTTCAGTAAACATAAATACGAGTTTTTATGTCATACCTGGGCCGCTATAACGTACGATACGGGTTCCGAATTCCGACTTCCCTGGCTTCCATAGAACTAGCGGTACGGCCCGGGGGTTCTTTACGCGTACGGCCCGGGCTTCCAAATGTTCCATAGAACGATTCGAACGCGTTTCTCCTTAACCGCGTGCATCGCTTCAGAAAATTCGGATACAAAATTCGGACGTTGAAATGTTGTTGCATTTTTTGGGTTTAGGGACACCAGATTTTCGCTCATTTCGCATTAATAGGCGTGTTTTCTTGGGTGGGTATGACATAAATAGAATACAACACGGGGTATTCCGCATCACCCTTGGTCCCAGCACTCCCGCCGATCGGATCTCCCTCTGGCATTTGGGCGATCCGACGCGCGGTCGGGCTGGTACCTCGGGCGATACGGAATATCCCGTGTTATCAGTCACAATTTCCGAAACATATGGCGTTCCCAACGCAACCGCTAGGAGGCAGCTTTTTACAGTCTAAACTAAAAGGAACATGAGCAGTTCCGCGCACATCCGGGTCCTCTTCCATCACAGCTCGCCTGAGGAGGTAGGCTTGTTTTCTTTGTGCGCTCAAAGCAGCGCGGTTTTTTACTTACCTTACAGTCTTGTTTGGTGTTGTGAGTATGTCACAACAACAATCTCATACCGGTGCTCCCTCTGGGACCGCTGGTGGTGACCCAAATGGCACCTCCGCCACGGGCTCCGTGCCAGAGGATGCTCGTCCGAGTACAAGTGCGATCCCTCCCACAGGGAAGGTAGCACATGGACATCAAATCGAACCCCCCGCCACAGTAGTGCCGGGGCTTGATACTTGATACTTGATACGGGGCCTGGTAGTGAGAACTTCCTACAGGACCCGGATTTTGTAAACAACCTGAGGTCTCTTGCAGTAGTTTCGTCTTTGTCTGCTAGAAACAATCCACATTCCGTGGTTGGTTATGATTCCAGTGACGAGAGTGGCGATGACCCCGACTCCCGTCACCGCACTCGCAGGCGGTCACGCTCTGCTACTAGTACTCGGTACCGCTTAAGGTCACCCCTCAGAGAGTATGATGATCGTACGACCCGATCGAGGTCCAGATCACCCTCACAGTACACACAGTCTAGTAGGTCTAGAGAGCATAGTCCGGCGATGTCGGACTCAGCCTCCGGAATACTCCGTGTTGTATTCTATATGTACATGTAATACATGCACCAGATGGACTTCGGGTGTAGTACAGAGTTTTGCATAAGCTGTGACATTCAATAAATTGGCCAATTAAAGAAAATTAGAGTGAAGTGCAGTTTGTGAGAGTTATATAATTATAATTCTGCATATTGATAGTACAACCTGTGATCCTCAACATATGTATAAAGTTTTAAGGACAAGGCTTTCAGACATGTACATTCAAACTTTCTCCCATAGTTTGTCTTTTAATACCGGTAAACTGAGATTCTATAGAAAATGTAAAACTGAATACTGTTTAGAACAATACCTAGAACATTGTGACTTCGATCAGCGCTCCGCTATTAGTAAAATTAGAATCAGTGCCCACTCCTTGGAAATCGAAAAAGGGCGATATATGAAACTACCTGTGTCGGAGAGAATTTGCAAATATTGCTCCTCAAATGCAGTGGAAGACGAAATTCATTTCATCTCTAACTGTCCATTTTATGCCGACATCAGAAATCAATTATTTACCACCGTGTCCAAAATGCTGCCTTACTTCCCCACCATTCCTTACCACAAAAAGCAATTTTACTACTAAAATCAAAGAACCCACATATTATAGAAGAAGTGGGTAAATTCGTCTTCCATTGCCTAAAAAGAAGAACTCAAACCCAGTGCAACTAGTGTCATGTCATGTTGTAGAATATAGTATAATGTTAGAAGTAGATATAGTCTCACATACCACTGTATTTTCTGTAACTGTAACTGTAACTGCAATTAGCCCTCGGGCAAGTATTTGCATTAAACTTTCTATAAGGCCTGTGACTTGGCAAACAGACTGGCGTTCTGCCAAGATGCCGGTTGAACCTGTTTTCACGTGACCCTTTTCTGTACGGGTCATAAGAAGGTATTTTGTTTCTTGAGTCACAAAGATGTTTGCTTGGTGATCTTGTTTCTTCAGTCAGAAAAGAAATATTTGCTTCGAGATCTTGTATTTTCCCATAGTTACATGCCTTTGTGTCTCCTTGGTGCAGTGACCAGCATACGAAAACTGCAAGGGGCAAACGACTTTTGACTAGAACGTAGGATTCCATTTGGCATGGCACGCAGTGATGCGTTCTACAAGGCCGTGGTTCTACTCTTCTTAGCTGGTATGTCAACTTATTTATTTTATTTTTGGTTATATCTAAATCTCCAGTAATTCTTGTAAGGGCTAATCTTCCAGCAGGTTTTCTCGGGGAGTACTGTAACCATTTTGACTGTATCAAGCTAGTAACGGACGTCCCTTATCCATAAGAAACCTGGTCCAAGATGAACAATGGCTCAGTGTTGAACAAATATTTGGCATGGTTCGAAGCTGCCCAAGGTTACCGTAGCAGAACATAGTGTAAACCTTGTTGCCATTTTTATAGTTAAGGACCGTAAGGTAAGCTCATTTCTTCAGGGTAGTTATAGTCGTGAAATAAACTTTACAATGCACATCACAATTCATACCATATTTTTTTCCATTCCAATATTTATTACAACACATGGGGGTGGCACATGCAAGTTCTTTTATCCTATTTCTATGCCACCGTCAAAGCAGGCATACTCATTTTCACCTGAGTCAAAGGGAATTCGCGTAAAGTGCCTTTCCCAATTCAAGGACACAGGATCGGTGGCATGGTAGGATTCGAACTCGGGGCCTCTTGGTTCCGAGCCGATACGCCATACGACCATACAATGTTGACATTTGCATTACTGTGCTGTACAGTTTACTCACAGTTGCGTCTCACATTCTAAGGACCTGTTTAATTGTAAAGGTGTTTGGATTAGGCTGTAATCTTCAGCAACAAGCTTTTTTGTAAGTAGTGTTGACGCTGGAGTCGTGGAACAGACTACTTTGTCTTGTCAGTAGGAACATAAAACTGCCTCAAAATCTCAACGTGGCTTGACGGCTGCAGTTTGGTTTTCAAGCTGTCAATTCTTTTCCACAGGGTGGGTGAGGCTTAGAGTGAAATATGCCACATTTGTCGCCAAATGTTGCCTTTCTATTGTTTATCAACTACCGCATAGATGATAACTCTATGAATAATTACTTATGTTTAATTGCTCACAAGTAACGTCTAGAGGAAAATGGACCGGCGACCCAACATTTGCGAAAGACAGTCTTACGTTAACCTGGGACACGACTGGTGTCGACACATACTTCCAGAAATATGTAGTGGAGCTGTATCAGAGCAAGAACCGGACTTGGTAGGTACACATGTTATACAATGTGGTACAGGGAACATGGATTTTGTCATTAGTAAAATCATGTGCACATAACAAAAATGAGGGACCCATATATACATATGTGGGTTGCACATACAGTACCATCTATATAGCACCCTGTACATGTACAATTTGGGAGTATTTCTCGCGCATCAAATTATTTGGAAATATTGTGTAAAAATTGCCAGCAGGACAAAGGTTATTATAATAACATCATTTCTATTGCGATTTAAGGAATGCCGTAATTATATGCATGTTCTGTTAAATTGGGAACCAGACAGACGGATAAAATTACGAATGATTTGTAACGTTTTTATACCCTTAAACATATAGAATTTTTAGTTCTTGAAAGTTTTAGGTCTCACATAAGAGTTTTTGGCGACGCCTCGGGGGGAGCCTAATGGTACAGTATTGTGTGCAGTTTGCAAGAATTATAGGAATTGTACAGGAACTTTTTCCACAGGCATGGAATGTCAATAGGCATGACTGGAATATTGCTGACACATCTATGCCCACAGTCCTACTTCCCGGAAATTCCTGGAAACCCTTGGGAAGTGTTACTTTCAGCAAACTCATGAGTCATGACAGACCACAAGGAGGCTTCCCAAAATCAAGAAATCATGACAGTGCCATGCAAACAATAACCAACAACTACCGTCGCCATGGCAATGTATGTTTTCATTGTCAGTATTGTTTTGTGACGTGACAGACCTTACTATTTGTATGTTTACTAATCATTGGTCTGTTTTCTGATTGGCTCATTGATAGTACTGACGTGTACAGACCACCAACACGGCAAGAAAGTCTGTCTTTTGCACAGACGGAGGCCACCTTCGTAGGCTTACACCCGGGCACCATGTACTGCTGGTAATGTCAATATCATTAACATTCTATGATAATTCCCATAGAGTTGTATAATTAATATAAATGTTTAATTTGTGTTGTCATCTCCTGCATATTATACCAGACCTAAAGTACTACCATTATCTTTCAGAATGACTATTTGCATATTCTAATTCTATAAGAATGGCTCTCAAATTGATGTGCAAAGTTTGTAGATTAAATATTTTTAATAACACATTGCTCATGATCATTGAAAAACTGTGTATTTCCTCTTTCTCCTCTTTTGTAAAATATCAAAATCTTTAAAATGACACATAGCAATATATATATATAGATATATAGGTAAGGACATGAGAAATTACATTCCTCAGTGTTTATAATTATAATGGTAACGACACACACAAAAGCATGCCCACATTGAAGCAAACACACACAGATACACAAGTAAACACACTTAGAAAAATCAAGAAATAGATAGATAGATAGGAAGTACATGTAGGAAGACATATTAACAGAGAAAGGGATTCATGGCTATTGCAGCAACTGCACAATCGTCAGAAGCCCTCCTCATGGCAACCGAAGCTGTGGACAATACCAAACAATGATTACTGTCCCCATCAATGGTAAGTTCTTCCCAAAGTTTGGTTTCAACTGATACAAAAGAAACAAGAAATAAATAACACTTAAAAGTACATTTCTCTGCAAAATGCTGTTCTAATCTTTTTTAGATCTTAAAAAGATTAATTTCAATCAGTTTTCTGAATTTAATAATAATTTAAGAAGCTACGATATTTCGCATTCACGCGCAATTTGCTTTTAACGCATTGCAAAACATCATACCTTCATTCTAAAGAGTAAACTCAGTTATTATTTTCCCCAGCAACTGATCAATCTGACAGGAAGTTTAACTCCACATCGGTAACCAACACCAGCATCACTGTGACGTGGCGGTCCTTCAGTGAAGAAACCCGGCGCAGTTTATTCAGACCACACAATTTCTACTTTTACAAGGTAACAATGCAAGGCAACACGGCAAAATAGCTATTGATACACTATTGATACTTTATTCGGATATTTAAGTTCATTATTCTATTAACAGCAACAACGAAAAAGATTTTTAAAAAGCGTTTGAACCATACTATTCCATCGTAATGTTTTGTAATGCTTTTCATAAATCACCATTTATTGTAGAACTAAAAAAAGATCACAGAAATGTATTTGAACTATTTATAAATCACAGAAATGTATATGAACTACAACATTTAGACATCTTGCCATTTACTTTAAACCACTATGTCTGGAATGCTATTATCTTTTGCTGGTAACACAGGACCCATTTTATACACTGAGATGTGTGAAGAAACAGTTTTGAAGGCAACCGAATATTTATGTATTTTGTTCTTAAGATAAGAATTTCACCGCCAGAGATTGATACCAACACTCACCAGGCGTTCTACAATGAGGATGTGCTGGAGGCAACTTTTTCCGGACTCACTCCAGGAAAGGAATACGAAGTAAGTAACAATTTAGCATTATTCTGTCATTTTGAATATCAATATGCAAGTCGATTTTAATGTTGGAGGATTTGGAAGTAAGCTGGAACCGCTGGCAATGATCTAAGGCAGCATTAAAAAAAATTACAAGACGGATAAACTGGTACAATAATAGTTTTCATACTCAAATCTGTATCGCCTAAGCTATTTTTCGTCTCGTAAACGGTGGATGCCATTGGAAACGGTCGATGCCATATCGCAGAACGGCTAACTTTATGTGTTTATCAGCACGGTCCATCCACACCGTGATGTTTCGTGGCGTAGAGGTTAGGGTATAAGTTAGGGTGAGGGTTTTGGAGTTACACTCTTGGACCCGGGTTCGAATCCGAGCTTCTGCTTTTTTTTCACGAATATTTACAATTCTACATAACCCTCCCTTATATTTGCAATTAGAATAATGCTTTTTATAGTATATCAGTCAAGTCAAGTCAAAGCCTTTATTTTTCTTCGAAATGCTTGTTCGGCGCAAGGCCGCTTTTCAACAAGGTCGAAGTTGAGGGGAGGGTTCACGGATAAGAACCAAATCCATACAAACATAAATAATAAGTAATTAAATCAATACAATAAGTAAATAAATAAGTTCACAAATAAATCATTAGGTTCGTAGCCAATTTAAGTCCATGGTGAGTCCCAGTTATGTCTGTTCCATAAGTGACTTGAAGGTATGGATGGATGGTGCTGCCCTAATGTGGGGCTGGATGTTATTCCATACCACTGAGCCGGAGTAAGCCAAGCTTCTTCTGTAAGCTTCCAAGTGCGGCCTCGGAGGGATGAGACAGTCAGTAGAAGCTGATCTGGTATTCCGTGCCACTTCATCCCTTCTCAGGCTGAAGACTCGTCTCATGTATGGTGGTAGTGCATTTCTCAAGGCCTTATACACCAGCAGAGCTTTTTGCTGTTGATGTATAGTCTTCACAGTCTTCCAACCAAGGCGCGATAGGATTTCTACTGATGGTGTTCTATATGGAGCTTTCAGAATAAGTTTTCCCACCCGGTTTTGGATTCTTTGCAGCTTGTCGTACTGCACCAAAATCGCTCCATCCCATACTGTGTATGCATAAGTTAACTGTGGTAAGAAAATTGAATTGTATAAAGTGACAAGAGCAGCCTGATTTACGAATGGTTGGACCTGGCGCATTACTGCAAGTGTTCGTTTCAATTTTGATAAGACATGATCAATGTGATAGTTCCATTTCAATTCACTGTCCACAATTATGCCGAGGTACTTGAAAGAATTTACCACTTCCAAAACACTTCCACTCATATACAACTGCAACTGGTCCTTTCCTTCCAGTCGCTTCTTTGTGCCAGTTAGCATAGCCTTACACTTGGCTATATATTATATTACTTATATATTACTATATTACTATATATTACTTTTTAGTCGTTTTTGGACGCTCGGATATGACATTGACCATTCAGCAAAATGGCATTGACCGTTTCAAATGGCATCGAACGTTTACGAGATGGAAAATAGCATCGCCTAATGCTTCTTTGGTTGTTGTACAACTTTTCTTCGTCAATTAATCAAGATGATGATCTTCTAGATTCACTTTGAAGCTGTCGGGGACAACGACAGACTCGTGTTGCAAAACCCTTATCATCTGAGACTTATTACCAATGCCATTGTCTCAACTGGTAAGTACACCACGTAGTGTGCAGTACCTTTTGTTTAATTACTTTTGGGATGGAAGTATTGTTTTTTACGGTTCAAGTATGGAGAAAGTTTGTATGTTTGGATTCCGAAGTGAGTGGTCGGAGACTGGGTTTCAGTTGAGTGACAGGGTTGTAACCAGTCCAACATGTGATCGCCAGGAATGTATAAAACACAAAGTATTGTTTAATAGCTCAGCAACTTTCCTCAGAAATTCGTATCCCACATATGAGTGATAATAATGCATTCTGTAATGTTAAAAATCGACGCAGACTGTGTCTAGGTCCTGAAAATGGTAAATCTTTGACAATCTTTTATATATACATTTTATGTAATGGTTTATCAACTATTTCAAATTGCTTAAATGAAGTTTTACAATGTTTATGTAATGTCCCCATATCATTTCAGCCGTTGGGCTGCCATTTTTGGGACAATGTTGTTGTTAATGCAAATAAACCATTGATATTCTGCGGTACAAAAGAAACAAGACATGGATCATGTATTTTTAGATCCTTCTCCAGTGGAGAAAGTTTCCGTGGTCGCTAAGAGCTCAACATCCGTGACATTGAACCTGACACCACCGAAGAACGGGTTTGTAGACCTGTTCCAAATACAGGCAACTTCAGCACATCATTCCAGGTAGTTTAAGGGTTCCAAAGTGCAGTTTTTACCATTCGATTACATATAAACTTCAACTAAAACGAAATATACATGTATGGACGACATCTTCGTCGCATATTAGAAATCGGCATATAAAAATTTTATTGTGTCCCTATACTGCACCTGTCTGCAGTTTTGTGTACACTTTCATAAGCATTCGTCGACAATTATATAACCTCTAACCCAACCTAAACTACAATTAATGCAAAATATGTACAAGTTGGTAGAAGGCATCTGAGGAAAAGGAATAAAAGCATTTTATAGGGCAAGAACTATGTAATGATCATATTTACTCACACGTTTAAGATGTTTGTATAATTTTTTTATTATTATTTTTTATGCAGAAAATGGTACGAATATTGCTTTGTACGAATAGATGGTATTCAAAAATACCATAATACTCGTGTACATGGCCCTGAAGTTAGGCTCATTTGATCCTGGTTTTCAAATTAAAAGCTACAATTCAAATTCTTTCTTTTATTGTACGGACAGTCACTAACTGTTTCTTGATGATTCCAGCCCTCTTTTAGATGTTCCTGACTCAAGGGAAACCTCAGTCCTGGCCACTTTGTCCAATCTTCTGCCTAAAACTACGTACAGAATTTCAGCCACAACTGTCAAGAATGGCCAGAGAGGGCAAGCAGCGTTTGTCACTGTCACGACAGGTAAGGGAGATGTGTAAAGCATAGATTCCAGGGCTGGAAATACTGGGTGCATGTGCACCTCAGTTTGTATGTTTGTTTGTTTGTTTGGTGTACCTTAGCGCACCCAAAATTGGAGCTGTGCACCCAATTTTTTTTTTCTGTGGGTGCACCAGTGCACCCAAACATTTCCGTTGGTTAACGTATGTGAAGATGCTAAATATATAGTAGTATGCAGCATATTCTTATATTTAAGTGTCAGAAAAATAATGGCATCATTGTGGTAGTACTTTTCTTTACGATGACAATAAACTTTATTGCATATTCACGCCCTACATGGGCCAAATGCACTACGTTAGATAACTGAGGTACAAGGGTGGAAGGACCAAATGTTACATTGCAATGCTACATCTTTATCTACAGAATCTCTTCTCTCTTTTTGAAACATGTATGAAAAAATTTACATAGTTTTTCATTTACACCGTAGTGCTTGGATGTCATAATATGTTTGAACAATTCTACAAATGAAGCCTAATCAGTTATTGCTAACATTCTAGTTATCCTTAGGCTATTTTATATGGTGCACACAATAAACAATTTCCACCCCCCCAAAAATTTTGCCCCCACCCCCCCAAAAAAAAAATTATGTGCACCCGAATTTTTAGGTGCACATATTCCCAAAATTGAACATCAAGCCCTGGATTCTATGAATAGTTACCATAAATAATTTCCTTGAAAATGTTGGTATCATAGCGGAAACGTAGATACATTGCAAATAAAACATGGCTTGATATCTTGGTCGTGTTATAACAGTGTGCCAATGGATATTGTTTTCTACACAGTATTCAATAGCCAATCCCCTGGCAGGCATTTGCTGAAAGTACAGAGCATCATTTATGACCACGGCGACTATATAAAGCATATCATTCGGGTTCTCTATGGCATACTTATACATTGTGAAAAGATGCATTTTGCTTCATTCTTAGAGCATGTCTACGTCGATCCTAAGCTTGTAGGCTCGGTCACTGCCGTTCTCGTGGTCGTCCTGGTTGCAGCAGCCGTCTGCACTGTGCGGATAGTCAAGCGGCTGAGGTACAGGCTAGACCCGGCACAGCTATTCAAGGAAGTCCTAGAGGTAACAGTAGCCAGAAAAATATCTAAATCATAATTTCTGTATTGTTTTTTTTTAGTTGTTGTTAATACTTGATGAAGCACATCATTACGTTATTACCTGCTGAAAACATTGCAACAACTCCTGACCATATGATACCCCCTTTTATTGGTTTTATGCAATTTCAGCGCTGTGTTCACTGTTATAGTAGTGTCTATACATTAAACCTTTTCTATTTTCAATTATGCAAATCATACCATAAGAATATTTTTACAATTATTGACAAATAAAGAGCTTTTAAATATAAGAAATCTAAAAGAGACAGGCGAATTCACTGTACCTCAGTGCGAGCAAATTAATGTATTATAAGTAGTCTTCCTTTTATTAGTGCTGTATAGCAGTGTAATTATTTTTATGTTATTGTGTAGTATGTGCAATGCTGTTGTTTTGTGTAACAGTTGTGGAATCCAGAAATATAAGTTGCTATTGCTCTCGCTTATGCTACTACTACTACTGAATATCATAATAAAGTTGCAAAGAGGCGAATAATAGTTTAATCTCTTACAAAAGCAAAAACATGCATATTAACTAATTTTTACACCAATTAACAGGGTGACAAGAAATAGTATCGTTGTGCTACTCGATTTTTTTTTTATTCTCAGGATATCGTTGGGTCTGAGAAAATGGAACCATGGTTGAAGAAAAGAAGGGATCTGTACCTTGACGAGCTGATTGGTGAGGGAGAATTCGGTCACGTGAGGAAGGGCGTTCTGTGGGAAGATCGACAACAGGCCGTCATCGTAGCTGCCAAGACTTTGAGGTCAGTTTTACAAAAGAAAAGACTCCTTTACAAGAAAAAAAGACAAGACATACAGAGATCTTTTGTAATTTTTTATAGCTTACATCTTCAGGGCTCGAAGTTCATTTTCAAGAATAGGTGCACTGGTGCACCCAAACTAAAATAAAATAGGTGCACAAAAAGTTTTTAGGTACACCACATGAAACAAAGCCTAATTACATATCTTACTGCTCCTCTTCTTTGAATGTGAAATGGGAGCAAACTTCAAAATCTTACAAATCAAGTAAATGTATATTACAACTAAGATTTTATTATTTTTATGACACTTAGATGCCAAGAATATCTAGTATACTATTATACATTTGGCATGTACAAAAATACCTATTAGTAAAAAATTGGGTGCACAGCTCCAAATTTGGGTGCATGCACATGCACCCAGTATTACGAGTCCCGAATATTTCTTTCGTTTATATTATTTGCGAAACAATTGTCGATGAATAACTGAAAATACTATAGACATAGCATAAATAAACAAATAATTAGGCAAATGAATGAAACTTCAACTTTATAAACAACCTTTTCTTGTCGCGTGATAGTCAACGAGAGTGACGGTTAAAGTAAGAGACAGCAATATCTATCTGTATATGTATAGCCAGTATAACCGTCTTTCGACGTAACACATGTACACCAGCTTCGAAGGCACGCGGCGTGGCGGCAGCTGGCTACGTTACACCGATAGACTTGTTACACCTAGCCCTTGATCATCTAACTCTAGACATTGTCTAATGACAATGCCCCTACTGTACTTGGTGACAGCGAGTTCCACTCTGCACTGTACTTGGTGACAGCGAGTTCCACTCTGCACTGTACTTGATGACAGCGAGTTCCATTCTGCAATGTATAGTCTTTAAGAATCGTCAACTAAGCTTTTAGCTATAGGGACCAGTTAACATTTTGTGTGTACGGGTATACAATTATGAATAAATGTCACGTTTTATTGTTTGACTACTTTTGTCAATGTATCTTTAGAGTCGATCGAGCCAATGAAATGACTTACCGAGACTTCGCGAAGGAGGCGAGCCTGCTGATCGAAGTCAACAATGACGGAGGTCACGTGAACATCATCGGTCTGATCGGGTTGGTTGTTGACGGAGTGAAAAAGAAAGGTGCAACAACTCATGTACAATATTTGTTGTCAATGTTCAATTGTTTTCTTGGATAACTTGTTCACCGCCAGGGAACACACTGTTTAAGACCGGCCAGTAAGGTTTGATCCACCAGAATGAGCCCTTTGGTTTTTGTTTAATTGTTTATTTGTTTATTATGATTTTTCACAAAGTGAAACGGAAGGCAAAACAGGTGCATACGCAACTTTACAAGTCGCCCCCCCCCATACAAAACACATATACAACATCATATACAACATCAAAATTTACATGGTCAATAACAAGTAAAAAATACATCAATATAGAAGGTTAAGCATAATTCAAATACATGTATATCTAATAAGTAAGCTATAATATATTTTGATATTTTTGTACCGTTTGTTTAAAATGCTCGAGATTTATGCCCGATTCGAGAGGTAGACCCCAACTGAGACTATCTAGTCATTTTAAACCAAGTGGAGTGAGGAAAGGTGGTGTAAGAGTAAAATGTCATTCAATTTCACAACATTTGGGCCTGCTAAGGATGCAAACAAAGAACATTTAGATTCTAAGACCCCATCCCCACTCTGATAAAATTGTCGATCCGAATTGAATTGTCGTTGATCCGGCTTCGATCCTGCTTCAAGCCGGATCGGAGCGGATAGAGCCGCATCAAAGCGAATCAATTCGGATCGATCTAGGCAATTTTACTAGAGTGAGAATACGGCCTTAGTCAACAACCCTAATCACAACACCATATTACCATCGTCATCAACTGTTATATACTCATTACAGGAACCGTTGTATGGTCATAATCGAATAATTATGTTTACCGAAGGACAACATGTTGTTTTTAATCAGTTTTTCCCTCCTCCTCTTCTGTTCCAAACACTAACCTCTGACCTGGCCAATAACATGATTTGTTGACGTCTGTCACCATGGTGACTGGCCATGGTGTTGGGTTACATAATGTTGCAATTTCATGGTCTGCTCTGCTCCTGTCACCATCTACTCGTAGTGTAAGTATGTGAATGTGTTTGAGTACTAATCAACAGGGCAGACCATGTCCTAAGGTAAACATTATGCATTTGCTTTGCAAATGTTACTTCTCTAGTCTACTATAATCCATTTTCTCAGATCCTCGATACATTCTAGTCGAGTATGCCCAACCAGGAGAGCTGCTTTGGTACCTGCTGGGTATACAGAACAGCCGACAACAGGCAGGATTTCCGCCGGGCTTAGGACAACAGCTCACCGACGTGGCCATCGACATCGCCCGGGGGATGCTGGAGCTGAAACGACGACGGGTAACGTTTATTGTTTTCCATTTAAGAGCTTCAGATTTTCTACTAAATCTCATCGTTTGAAAATGCTTCTTTCGGATTGCATAATTGATCCCCCAACCCCTAACAGTTTCTGCCCTAGTCCTATTTAAACTATTAGTTTTTTTTTTGACAAAAATATCCATAAAGTAAAGCTGAACAAAAGACGTATCATACCGCCTACTCCAAGAGAGTATGGAATTCCCAACACAGCAGGCATGTTATGTGCGAAAGTTGCTACCTGGACAAAGCGTATCCTGAAGCATCTACATGTGTTTCTTGGCTTACACAAAAAGCGTATTTAGAAGCGTTCACAGGTGTTTATTGACTTGCACAAAGTATTCAGAAGCGTCTACATTTTTTTGGCTTGCACAAAAAGAGTATTAAAGAGTATTTAGAACCGTCCACATGTGTTTATTGGCTTGTACAAAAAGAGTACTAGTATTTAGAAACGTCTGTAGATGTTTATTGGTTTGCACAAAAAGAATTAGAAGTGTCTACTGTACAGGTATTCATTGGCTTTCACAAAAAGAGTATTTAGAAACGTCCACAGGTGTTTGAAGCGTCTACAGGTGTTTAATGGCTTGTACAAAAAGAGTATCTAGATGCGTGTACAGGTGTTAATGGGCTTGCACAAAAACGTTATTTAAAAGCGTCTACTGGTATTAATTTGCTTGCACAAAGAATATTTAGAAGCGTCTACTGGTGTTTATTGGCTTGCAGAAAAAGAGTATTCTTTAGCGTCTACATGTGTTTATTTGCCACAGATTACCCACCGTGACCTGGCGTGTAGGAACATCGTTCTGTCCTCCCCTGACGGACATACCGGCCGTCTGGTCGCTAAAATCTCCGACTTCGGACTGGCCCGTGACGTGTACGTGACGACACAGTACATGAGACACCCTCTGGTTAGTTTCGTGTACAAGTTGATAACTGTCAACTCTTCTTCTTTGGTCAAATGAACTAATTTTTTTAGATATCTTGAAGATAGCATAAGAGTCTGCTTCGAGTCCAACTGCTCAATATTACATGATTATGTTGTGATAATATTGTCATGATAATTCAAGTTTACCATTGCCATTTGAGCGGTATTTGGCTAGGTTTTTTTTTTTAAAACAAACTAGTTTCGGTTAGTTATTGTGGTTTAAGGGTTTCTCGTTAACTTACTCATTATTTAACGCTATAACCATATAGCGTTTTCAATCTTTCATGACTCAAAATCTATGCAAAATCTATGGTGGATCATATGTTTTACCTAGATTTATAAGTTCGTCCATTTGTCCATAGACCAACATGCTGCTTCCAATAAAGTGGATGGCAATAGAGTCTCTGATCGAGGGTGTTTACAGCTGCAAGAGTGACATGTGGGGGTTCGGCGTCGTGCTGTGGGAGATAGCAACTCTGGGTGAGTGTCAATTTTTATTTTTATTTTTTATTTTTTGCAATTCGACATGGATAATACAGGACATGGTGGTGAGGTACTCTAGCTATAGCTAATTTTAATTCACAACCGGGCATACAGGTATACAGCGACAAAATACATGACAAAAACAACAGGGAACAGCAAATGGGTGGAAATGGCAACGCGGTGATTATGGTAATGAATAACTCTTTCCAGCCGCCTCCCAAAGCCTGACAGAGGCTAGTTACGTGCCCCGGTATTACGCCGTGGTTACGTTATATACCATCATTACACAGTACAGACCCCATACCACATCCTATGCCTACCACGCAGGACACACCCACTATTCTGCCGGTCATCTAAAATCATAGCTCTCTGCCTATTGACACCTTCTATTGATTATACAGTTAAATTTGGCCGGCCAAACATTAGGTGCAAAGTTAACCTAGCTATTCCAGTCACGTTCACTATCAAAACAGCATCAAATACCATCTGATAGACAATCAGAAGCTACTTGTGCGATCCCCATGGGCCCATTTAAACTCCCTATTTTTAACTGTGGGGATTTTAAATTTACTACGGATGTATACCGTGGGCATACACATATATTTTTCCTCAGAAATTAATATGTACATAGTCTAAACTGTGCTTTTTAATGCTATTATTATCATCACACACACACATGTATATAATATTACAATATGCATTTATCAGCTTTAGCAAAGCGACCATAAAGCAACCAATATTCCTCGACAACCGATTTTCCCCAGCCCTTTGAGTGGTTGAGCAGACAAGGTTCTGAACTAATTTACGGTCTTGGGACTTCCAGGGGGAACACCTTATCCCGAGGTCTGTGGCTACGAGACTCTGGTGACGAGACTCCGCCGGGGGTACCGCCTGCAGAAACCGAGCGGCTGTTCCGATGAGCTGTAAGCAATACGCCCATTCCACTTAGCGGTGCTTTCACTGCGCTCTCTCTGCGGACTGAAATTTGCTAGAGCGCAGAGAGGGTTGCGAAAATAAAAATTTACAAATAAAGAACTATATAATATAATTAAAATCTTGACCTCTTTGAATTCAAGAGTGTTGCGGTTAAAATAATCATTGCGTAACATAACAATGAGAGGAATAGAATATGGGGGTCCAGTCTTCTTGACAGAAAAGCGGTCATGAGAAGTTACAACACCGGCGTGGAAACAGGAAAATGAATGTTCAAAAAAGTCTAGAAAATGATTCTAAATTCTAATCCTTGCGATTTTGATAATCTTCCGTATCTGTTTCTGTATAGCGGTATAACCGCCTTTGGGCGTAACACACCAGCTTCGCAGGCACGCGGCGCGGCGGCAGCTGGCAACATTACACCGATCGACTTGTTACACCTAACCCCTGAACATCTAACTCTAGGCACTGTTTAAAGCTATCTAATGACAATGCCCCTTCTATACTTGGTGACAGCGAGTTCCACTCTGCGATAGTTCGAGGAAAGAATTTATTCTTGAACACCTCAATCCTTGGTTGATAACTCTGGTACTTGAAAGTATTCCTATTTCCTGTTCTCTTCTGGGCTGGTATTAGGTACTTAGGAATTGGGACGTCCACCAGTTTATTAGTCATTTTATACATCTTGCACATTTATTTGACTTAGGTACAAACTGATGAACCTCTGCTGGCAGGATGACCCGGATGTAAGGCCCACGCCTGACGTGGTTGAGGAGAAGTTGGAGCAGCTGCTGCAGCAGGACCAGGTAGGAAACACCCTGCGGGGTCGTGCTCGACTCAAAACCAAGAGGTCCAGGGTTCGAATCCTGCCATGCCACAGATCTTGTTGTGCCCTTAGGAAAGGCACTTTACACGACACAAGCTGGTCTGTTACGCCGTAAGGCGGTTATACCGGCTATACAGATACAGACAGACCTTTACCACTTAAATGAAAATTAGTATTGTAGTGTCCTGTATTTGTCCTCTGCGTTGGTGGCGCAAAAAATTGAGTGTGTCGTCACCATACCGAGTTATGAAATATCGGAATAAAAAAAAACACTTCTGTTAGCAAGGATGATCTAGGTACCATTTTTATACTTTCGCTACAACTCTCAGTACTGACATCAAATGTTCTATGTAGCCCCTTCCCACGGAATGTGTGACTGATCACATAAAAACTATAGAATATATCAACAAGATTTTAGGACTCATTTTCACCATAGAAAATAGTCCAATAGGAATTTGGTACGAGAAATATGTGACTTAAAGGATGTTTTCTATCGTTACAGGCTTTCTTTCCAAAGGCATAGGAAACTGGAGAGAGCGCTGACATACAAATGAAGTGGACAAATGAAGTGGATTTGGTTTCCTTTCTATACCCTTATGTATTAAAAGGGATGTTATACTAAATGCATCATTCTGAGAAACCTTGGCCAAGACATGTTGATAACCAAGAAAACGTTTCTGCAGCAATGAACTTTAGAGTTGTACATTAATGATAAATGAGTCCTGAATATAATCAAACTATAAGTAAAAATAATGTAAAAATTACATATACGTAGCAGCCACAGAGGACCCATTGATAATTACCCAATTCTGCAGAATTCTGCACAGAAATCGGTAGAATTCTGGTTCCAGTTCCAGGAATTCTGTCTCCAGTTGTTTGAGTAACTGCTTTTTGGCGTATTTTAAATTGGCGTATATTACCTGGATGTCTCACCTTCATCGACGAATTCTCGCTCCAGTCCACTTCCAGAATTCTTCAGAATTAGGTCAATACCCGAGGGGAGGTTGCTACCTATTCCTCACATCATTTTTACCAAAATTTTACAATACTAGCCCATCTAGACGTAAGGTTGCTGAGATATGGGAATTAGTCTAGAATTAAACTAGAATTCCGAAATTAAACTGGAGGCAGTTCTGAGTCGCCACCACAAAAATGCTAACGGGGGACCTCACACACTTTTCTTTCCATAGCAACCCACTTAATAACATATACAACCATCAACAACTTTTCGAATTATGTTGCACATATAAAAACAAACATATATTTTCACCATCTATTATATTTTTGTTCCCATTTCTAACAGTTTCTACTAATTATTGCACTTTTAAAAGCCACTTAACCGTGATCAAGCTGTAACCTCGCCGAAACCTACCATCAACATCTGTATTCTAACATCAGACTTTCACAGACAGCCACTTTCATTTTATGTTAATGCTATACTTTATGTCATCTTTATGTTTACATTTGTATTATGTTTTATGAGCAGCGGATTTACATAAGCACATGGATGGAACATCAATTTAATAAAACATCCTAGTAAATGTTTCAACGTCTCATTTTCTAGTTCAATGATAAATAACGTAATTCACGGTGGATATATCTTTATCTATATAATGTTAACCATTACCTAAAGTACCTACCAACATATGCATAAAACAATGCAATTTTTTCAATACATTATTGAGTTATTTGCTTTAGACGTTAACAAAAATGGCAAATAATAATACTCTTCATTTTCATTTCTAATTATTCTTTTCTACTCTTTTAGGAATTGTCTTCGGAATGTAATGACGTTAGTATCGTTTTCACAGTTGCCCTAACCGTAACCCTACCTTAAGGCGGCCCTTAAAACTTCAAACGCTTATAAATCCCAAACCAAACAAGATAAATGCTCACGGTTTGCGGAGTTTTAATACTTAGCATTATGTACATAATACATAGAGCATGCATTATGTATACGTAGATTTGCAAAAAAAATTATTCGTCTATTACAATGTGTTTTCTGGAGTAGAGAATGAGACAGGACACCCACTGAACATACATAGAGGGCAAAGGGACATATTGGTGTTAACGCTAACAGTAGTAAAATTGATGTCTTCTAACCTTTTGACATACTAGTTGAACAACTCCAAACGAGACAGTACGTACAGACGCGATCAGCACATATGTCGACAGTCCCCTGTCTTTACATGTCCTGGGACTTCTACAGAACTTTTCTGCTCGCTTTGGAGATTTTTCCGACTTCTGCTACCAGGTATTACATTGAACGTACATTGAAGGTTTTCAACGCTGTTCCTGTAGATTTCTACAATTGTTTGTATCAGTCACTAATCATGGTTACAACGTCTGTGGCGCAGGGTTTGGACGCGTCTGACCGCATTAACGGACCGACCGTTAAATTCTCCAGGTCTCTAGAACAATCTGAACAGTATAGACATCTCCTACCTCCTTCACGAGAGGAAATAAGTGGCAGGAAAACCAGATCATCTAACAAACTGAACAGTATTTACTGTAGAACTGTAAGATACCACAACAGTGCAATACCACACATGGTACGGTTGCTGAACCTGTAAAATAATTAGTCTCTTTCATTTTAATCTGCTTAAGAATGTTTTCATGCTCCGTCAATTTTATCCTGTTCGTAAATGTTTTTAAATATGGTTGAGATAATGGTTGAGATATTGTTTTAACGAAACTCATGGAAACAGCTCCCATGCAATTCAGCCTCTGGCTGCCAGGTGGGACTGTCAGTATGTATTGTATATATGTTAATATTTGAATAAATCATTATTAAAAAATTAGCGCCAAAAGGACATCAGAACAGTCGGAGACACCACGAGTATCTGTAGGACTCCGTCTGTTTCGTATGTGTGCCTAGATTTTCTACTCCAGTAGGCCATTGTGGTGTCAACGTACGCTCGAAACAGCATGCAGTCTCATTATTCAAACGCCATCAATGGAGTATAGTTTGAAACATGGCTGTACCAAGAACACAGGAGAGAATTCCAGTTGTCACATACCTGAGGTCAGATAATAGAGTTAAAATATATTACGTACTGAATGAATGAGACCAAACACAGCGAAGTTTAGTGGATAAACTATAGTAACTACGGAGCTAAATCTAAAGGAAGGCTGGCAAAAAATCATGTAACATTGCAGTAAAAAGATTTGGGAGCTAATGTGAAATATAAATCGTGAAACCATGTAGGTGATTCAGAATTGCTCAATTATATAAACAATGGAGCTGAATGATTTTCTTCATTGACAAAAACATGGCGTGCAATTATGCAACGATTTCGCGAATAGTGGGAAATAGGGCAGGGACACAATATAAAGATGCCGAAATGGCGGAGTTTATATTAAAGTCTAATGTAAAGCCAAGTACCATAATACTAAAGTCAGTTGTCACATACCATGCCATACAATACAGTTAAAATATCTCATGTACTGCATAAACGAATTTATTTGTGCGGTTTAGTGGGTCACCTACTGGTAACTACAGCGCTAAATTTGAAAGAAATGACTAAAAATGATGCTGGTCGTCATCATGTATGTGTTAACATTGCATTATATATTGATATTTCTTGATTGTAACTTTGATTTGTTGGCTTTCCTTTATTAACAATTATTTCAATCGAGCTACATCTATATATATATATATATATATATATATACAAGCCAAGTTCAGTTCAAACAGAAAAACAACAAACACGGTCCTATTCCAACACCACAGATTTTATTCAAATTGAAATGGCGTGTCCACTTGTATGTAAGATTGTAAAGATAGGAGTTTGAAAACTATCTTGATATGTTAATACCAACTAAAGTACAGGCTTAAAACATGTACATTTGGATAATTTTTTTTACCAAGTTGCTTTCCGGCAATGTTGTTATTTCATGTTAAAATCGTATATGTTCAAACGGACCTTAGCAAATGTAATCTGGTCATTGTTTGTAAATTACCAATAACTTATAGCTAAAGTAACAGTTAATACACCTCAACAGAGAATAATAGTTTACCTTGTTTTTTTTCTCTTAACGTTATCTATCAACTTACTTTATTTCCATTGACACCTTTTTCAGTATTACATACGTTGCAAGTCTACATAATTATACAAAAGCTAACACCTTCCAATTCTATTAATGTTACATGCACCTAAGATACAAACCTAGCATTCTGTGACAAACAGTATATATGTTTTGTGGCACCTAAAGTTAGGCTTGTCGCTAATGCCTCTTTCACTACACAATGTATAATTATGCACATCTACGTAATATATATATACGCATACAAAATTATGCTCACACCTTTCAATTATATCGCTGTCTAGCTATTTCAGCACTTAGAATCCAAACAGTATACTATTAGCAACCCCTATTCTGTATAAACAGTAAGAACTAAGAATAAAATTCTAAAAAGCACGAACCTTGGTTTACCAACTTCCTAAACATGATGTAAACAAAAAAAATCTTATAACTAATTATATCTAATTATTGACATCCCTAATCCCATACCATACACCAACATTAACATAGAATCTAAAAAAAGTTGTCAACAATCAAAACGTCATCCTCTCATGCGAGACCAAACGCGTCTATATACTAGTATCAAGCAACAACCCTTGCGCATATACGTACCAAGCTGCCACCTGTCCTTCTCAATGCCAATCAGATACATTGTACTTTCCCTCTTGTTGTTAGGGGGAAATTACCAGCCAATCACGATGCTTCCTGGCAGTAAGAGGCGACGAGATTGGTCGGTAACTGATTGGCTCACAAGGACAGGTTGCATGGCGGTACACTAAGACCGTTGCTTGGTCAAGTGTACAAGTGTTAGGGCCTAGCATAAGAGGGTGGGATTTAAAGTTTTTTGATGATGATAAGGCTGATAATTACAGCAGATGGAGCGGGCCGCCGTACCGTGTCCCCACACCACGCGCCGCGGGAACAACAGGAAAGGTCCGGCCGGGTTTCAATCCACAGTAGCCCTTACTGCAGTTTACCTAAACGACAAAACATAAAGGACCACGTGTTGACATTTGTTAAATTTCGACATTCAATAATGACAAAGGTGATAACTAACAATAAGGAGAAGAATGATTCCAACGATAACTTTAGTACATCGCATTTTTACAGGAAGGCTAATTATAAGGAGCATAACAAAAACAGTGAATAGAGAATGATAAAACATATGTATGGAAATCCCTTGGGGATCCATATTCTGTCTAACACACTATATCTGTGTCATAACCCGAATAACATATTACCTCGGCAACTATGTATATACTAGGACCCTACTATAATTGCATTGTTGTATTTTTAAAAAAATATACGTATATATTATTGTACTATTGTATATAACTGTATATCTCACTAAGTATGTAATTTGTAATATGTATTCCGATGCATGTCTAACGATTTTCATATTTTTCCCAAGGGTGTCCCTCAGTTAATAGTCTTTGAATAGTTGGGACACCCTGGCTTCTTTGTAAGCCGAAATAAGTAAATAAATAAACACATGTCTGGTGTAATCTACTCGTACATGCTAATCTTGAGGGGTTAAATTAAAAGGAACATGCATTTTACCACACATGACATGTGGTCAGTTATCGTCATATAATGGTCCTTAAAACTATACGGGATGCCATAACCCTTTTCAAATGAAGTTAAACGTAACGAAGACCTACTGCCAAATACTTGGACCTCGCACACAACCAGGGTTCGGCTGTTTCCGGGGAGACGCATGCCGACGTACCGTCCCCGCATCCCCGGGCACGAGATGCTGATGGACGGCTTACTCACGTCGATTCTATGATCACCGCCGCACTTCGGGTTCTTTTCGACAGAGACGGAATTCCCTATGTGGATGTTGAAGGGGTTGATCCATTTTGCATTGCCGCCCATGCGGTTAAAGATGACTACCCTGTAGATATGGAAGAAGAAGCAGCAACCATTGGAGTTGTGTACATTCGAACTTTGATATACTAAAATTCACTAACAGTCACTAAAATTGCTAACGGCCCAAACAACTGTAAAATGGTTAAAATGACGGTAGTTATAAACAAGGAGCACAGGGTAGCAGCTTTTCAATTGAAAGGGAAAAAGCATTGCCGCGAAATTAAGAAGACCTCAAAGAGCTACTGGCGACTAAATTAGGTTGGTTTAGTAAGACTCACAGTACATTTGGATTACAGCACCGGGGGCGCTTCAGCAGGCAATTGGGAAAACATCGAAGTAAAATTAGCACAGTTCAATGGACAGTGAAGAAGTAGGGCATGGTTGCATGAAAACATCAAAAGGGCAAATGTTAGCTGTTTTGTACACAGGGTCTATTTATACGTATATATATATATATATTGTTATTTTGTATATAT